CTATCAGCGAAAATATATAGCTGTCAACTTCTTAGACCCTACCCTACTATTTCTGTCTCCTCCTCCCCCCCCCCCCCTCCTAAACACCACCCCAAAACTCAATTAACCATCTAAAACCCTTCAATATTTCCTAGCGCCAACCCCACTCTCTCCAAAACAATGACCCATGTGTAAACTTATATATACTCTATCTGGTATCATTTTTAACATACCACACTGTAAATAGAGAGGAGACCTATATTCAAAACTCAGCCATGTGAATCCACTATATCATTATAAACTATAAAACTGTCCAATTTGATGGTATCTTGTTACAGTAACAAACTGTCATATGTCAGTTCTTCCCAGCCTTCCCCAGTCTCTCACCCTTGGTCCATCCAAATTAACCACATCGTTCATCTCTGTCACTGGCAATGTCCGAACAATTCTTTTAAAATTAATAACCGATAATAGATCCTAACCAACCTTCAGTCTCCATTCCAATTAACCACATCATTCGTCTGTGTCACTGGCACTGTCCGAATAATTATTTTTGAAAATAATAAACGATAAAGGAAATAAAGATGACATCGTCTTTTCCAGCCTTCAGTCATATCCATAACCTAAACGTTCGCTTCTTTCCCAAAAATTATTTTCAAATTAATAAACCATAAAATAATAATGGACTAATGAAGTTTTGAAGGCATAATTCTTTGATTGTTTGAGAATTTATAATTGGAAACAAAAATGTATAATAAATGAATCATTCTTATATTTTTATAATTTTCTTATAAATGATCACCTGATAATACATGATATACTTTTCCTGACAGAATGAATACAACTTTAATTTTAGGTTGAAAAACCCTACAAATATATCTGTGAAATTAGAGAAATCTATTTTAAACTATTGTCAGTAAGATTATCAGTTGTTTAATAGATAAAATTCTTCTCATTAAAAATATCAATGGGGACATACTTTCTATAAACTGAGAGATTAGTTCAATTTGGTTTATTTCACAGTTTTATAGGACAGTGTAACACAAAATAAATTTTTATGGCCTACTTTTCTGCTCTAGTCTAGGCTAATGAAGGACACCACCATGCAGTGCGCAATAAGGAAAAGTTGCAAGATATTTTTATCTCAAACATTAAGTGATCTTTAAACTGCACACCCTGTAGCACACAGAGCTTCAATTAATCGTCCAAAACGACTTTATACTTCTACCAAAGCTACTGACAAGGAGGAAAATTCAAACTCGGCCTTCCCTCGGCTTGAACACTTGACCTACAGCTTAGCATGTAACTCATTGAGCCATAGAGATCCCCTACATTCTATTCAGAACCATGACACTCCAAGCTCTAGTCAAACATGACTGGCAAATTATAAACCCTTGTTACAATATCAATATGAAAAGTAAAGAGAAACTAATATAAAATAAATACAGTAAAGACGTTAATCATAAAGTAATTAGTTCTAATTAATGATTATTGATTAAAATCAATCAGTCATCAATAACTATCGATTGAATTTTGACAATATAGTTGTACTGTATCAATAGAATTAGGCGACCACGAATTCGTACTAGAGTTTTCATACAAGATTCAGTAGAAATAATCAGTTATAAAAAATGTTCTTGTAAATTTTCTTTTAGATATGGTATTTTTCTCTATGTAAACTTCACATTTTAAAGAAAATAAGTTGAGTAATATTTTTTAGGAATGAGGCCCCAGTATCATTTAGAAATCTTATTAATCAAGTCAAAATTCCACTCAAGCATTGCTCACTCTCACAGACCACCTATTGCCATTTAACCAAGCATCAAGTAAATTTTTGAAAAAATGTGTCAAAGCTTCAAAAATATTTATGCAAGCATCTACATGTTCATTTTTACCACCTTGCATTTTCTTATATTTATATGAATATAGTCAATATCTGATTGAAATCTTTGAATTATAATAATATATGCCTTAAGACATCCAAAAATTCAAATTTAAGTCAACCCAAGGGCCATGAAATAATATGATCTCCTATTGATATTTTTACTATAAATTCTAACAAAAAAATGACAGATAAAAAATAAGTGAATTAGTCATACAGTGATCTAATAAAAAATGTTTTTCCCACCTGCTGATATATTGAAATGGTTTTTAAACTTGTAGACAAACATTTAAAGGGAGGTTAAGGGGGATTTCAAAAAAGGTTTTCTGATCTTTTTAAGTGTATGTTTATATTGACATCATTCAGATTTTGTGTCTGACATTTGTGATACCCAAATTCCAGTGAGATATCACCACATTTGGATTTCATCATCACTTATAACATACTTATTTCAGGACTGGTGCCATGGCTATATACAGTATATTATATGCCAGAATGTAGTGCATGTCTGTTTGTGTGTCTTTTCCACTAAAATCATACTAATGACTAACTAATTTTCACATAATTAATAGACTTATCTATTGCTCTGTGACCTAGGCCAGTGCTTGTGAATTGTAGCATATACTCACTAAGTTTACAAACATGTTATTTTAGGCAGTTGTCCCTTTAATCCCAAATATACAAGAGTTGATTAAGAGAATACCAGCCCATATTCAAATATCTGTTTCTAACATAGTTGCTAACAAGGGTCATTTACAACCCTCATTGACCTAAATACTTCAGAAATCTTTCACTTTCTGCTCTAACACAGGGAACAACACCTCATATTTTATTCATTGAACTATATAATTTTGACAGAATTAAATAAGATTTCAGAAACAAGCCTTGGTACCGAACCTAATAGTGCAGTCAGACGACAAAACTAAGCTGGTTTAACTTTCCATGCCAAGTTTTAAGCTTCCTCGAAGTAGGTGCAACTTAAGGCAGCTTAAGTTCAACCAGTTACATTCAGACAACTAAAAGAGCAGGCTTGGAGAACAGTTGATAGTTAAGGTGCCTTAACTTGTGTAGTCTAAACACACTAATAGACTAATCCCTCACCTAATCTCATTTAATAAATATCAGTTATTGTTCTGTCAGTAGCCCAACTCCAGTATTTTTTCATGTTATTGTAGGGCCCTCTTCCAACCCTTTGGTACCTTTTTGTCCATTTGAATATCAGGTGAATTATATGTTAAAAAGTGTTGACGTAAAACTTAAATACAGCAAAAGGCCAATTAATCTGTATCCCTTATCAAATAGGAATTTTACAATGTTTTACACAAGGCCATAGAAGTAACAGCTAGATACAGAGAGCTATTGTATGTTAAAAGAGGAGTTGTATTTACAAATGAGTATTGTTCACCAGTAGGTTACATAATTTATCATCTAACAACACAGTCTGTAGAATATGATACTGTTTAAACAGCCCCCACCCTACTGAACTGTCTGTGTTTGGGTCAGCCTGTACCACAGGGGCACATACTGGAAGGGGGGTATGAGAGGAGAGGAGGGGTACATAATTCTGAGAACACAAATATGCTATTGTTTTAACAACCCCCACCCTACTATCTGGGTCAGTCTGTACAGGGGCACATCTACAGGTGGTGGGTGTTCGTAAGTACCATCTGAGAGACAAACATCAGAATGTGGGGCAGGGGGGTGGAAGAGGGCTTTCTGTACCAGATGAGTAAGTAGACGAGATTGATAGGGATTAGGGAATGAGTGTTAGAGATTAGAAGGGGTTTGGGGGGAGGAGGGCAACAAGAATTTCAAAGGATGGGGATGATTAATTCCAAAAATGTCAGATTTGACGATCACTTGAATAGGTGTATTGTAGGATACTAATTACAAGCCTAACATCGGGAAACATTGGTGAATATCACAGGTGTAACGAAAGTGACCTTTTCCCTCTGAACTAAGATACCCAATACTCTAGATACCCAACAATAGGGTTGTGACAGATACTAGAGGAAAGGACATGGTCATGTTAAACAAGCAATAACACATGTTAAATTCTCAAGCCAGGTGTGATGAAATGACTCTCTCATATTTACTGAGAAATATCAACTTTTACCCAGGTAATTCTAGACGGTCCCAACCCACATGAGATGGGAAATTGTGCCATGTTTGTGCCCCATTTGTCATATGGACAGATCAATTTTATTTTGATATTCTAGTTATTGATGATGTTTGTTTAAGGCTGTGGAATATGCATAAATAAATAAACCAAGTATCAACAATCGAAACCATAAAACAAAATCCGAAATCTAAACAACATATTGGCAAAACATCAGCTAATGAACTTTTCACATGAGGAAGTATATCAATCATAAGTAAGTATATCATGAAAAGTGGTATCAGGTGTCTAGAAGAGTAAGTATACCCTGCCTGGCAAAATACATATCATTGCTGCTCAATTATAAATGAGTAAGTATTTCATAATGAAAAGTGGTATCAGGTGTCTGGTAGAGTAAGAATACCTTGTCTGGTGCATGTATTCCACAGTATATATTTTAGTCTAGATGGTTATTTGTCAGCTTGTCAGTTTGTGAGGTGTGTAAGAGTGTTTATAAAGTTGTATATAAAATATCATGTGGTATAATTCTCTTGCACTTAATATCTAAGCTTTAAAGAGATTGTTAAGAGGTTTTCTAACAAAAATTATGCTTTTAGTGTCCCCGATACACATAAAAAATATTAGAAAACCTCTTTACAATTTGAGCAATTTAAAAGGACTGGAAAGGATGCTTGGAAAATGAGATGGAATGGATTAATAGCTCGGATCAAAACGCATTGGTTGTGGCATACAATACTTGCAGGATTCAAACCCACAGCACCTAATTGACAATCCAGTAGGCTACTGATTGACTTATTCCACTAACATAAGATTAAGTACTGGATAATGGATTAGGATTACTCACAGTGGAGTAGCTAAGTTGTAGAGAGTTTGATATCTATTAGGTGATTAGATGCCCATGCTAAAAATAATTGTAATGCCACGATTATGCTTCTGAAAGTCAGCCAGGTGTTCAACTTTCAACCTCTATAACTGACAAGGATTAGGGACTGGCCTTAAATGGACTAGGCTTAAAACAGATTAATGGATAATCCCCTTACCTTTAACGACAGCATCCGTATAATCCAGATTTATCAAAGTCACTGGCACAATACTGGAGTTCAATTTCAGCTCCCCATTTCCGTTGGGGTTCAATAAGAAAATTTTGGTGTCATGTCTCCGAATTTCACTGTCACAAATATGCGGATCTCCAAAGCCCTCGATCATAATCATTTTATGGTGGGACACAGGATCTTCGAAATTAGCAACTTTTGGCACAAGGTTGGCTCTGTCTTTTAAAATCCTTTTCACCTCGACTTCGCCCTTGTACATCCCACCCCCCTTCGAGTCCAGCATCACCTCTTTGACTGTCCCGGTGATCACCACATTGGCCATTTCCTCTCGAGTTTCCAACGCTAAATCCATGTCCACACATTTGGAATTTTTTGCCGACGAAATACAAACAATTAGATAAAACAAACAAGCTAAAACCGACCGTGAATTTGATTTAACATCCATGACTTTTAAACGACACATTTCAAAAACTTTTCACTGCATCAAATCCACAAAATTGTGTCTCTTCCTGCGTCAACTCATAAAAAAATATCGCCACACCATGAAAACTGCTAAAAAATTCCTCCACTAGCTGTAGACACAACACAGGTGAGTGAACAACTCGACCGGTCAACAAAACTTGCAGACGAAATATTGTCCTTTGATGTGTCCCGAGTACTTTGACGGAAAACCACGACAATAGACGAACATGCTTCAGGTGAGATAAAGTCAGGTATGTCCGTGATATTTTACCTGATTTGTGATCAATTCTGTTCAGTCGTTTTCTGATTCGTTCTTGGTTCGTTTAATGAAGATGGACGCTGCTGTAATGAGAGAAATTCGCCAATACAGTGTTGTTACGGGCTCCACGTATCCTTACACAAATTCTCAGCTTCTGGTCGAAATAAAGATGATTAGCTTAAAGCTCTTCCTTTTGATCACTTTCTCCGTAAATTTAACAAAATGGAGTTTTACGTCTTAGACCTACTTTCTGAGCCCTCGGCAAGATTACTGAAGTTGGGCAATGGCTCGCACAGTGTGGAGGGGAGGGGGGGGGGGGGGGGATTTCTACAGGGAATTCTGGGAATAAATAAACTGCACGTGTTTTCAGGAAAGTTTCAGAACGTGACATTAAGGGAATTTTGGCGGGAAAATAAACATGGTCTGATTGAATAAAATAGAACAAATAAAAAATATCAAACTACTTGGAATAAATTATAGAACTATCTGTATTATCTGCATGACGTTTTTTCGCCAACATATTCATTATTCTAAAACCGGGGACGGCTCTAAAACCTGCTGACTGGTTTGTAAGTTTTGCATTCTACTTTCCGATTAACTCAGTCAATGCAGACCTTACAACGCTATGCAGTGTGCAATGATGAAACTTTTGCAACGACAGCGGCATTAGGGTTCTCTTCTTCAGATTTCAACTGTCGAGGGACCTTTAACATAGGCCTGGAGTCTGTAGTAAGGGGGTCCCCCCCCCCCCCCCCCTGAATAGTTATTGAAGATAATGTAGATCACTTGATGGAGTGAAACCGTAATCTGTACCTACCTGTATTTATCTCACCTGTACGATCAGGTAAAATAGTTTATAAAGCCAGTGACATAGTAATTGACGACCGTTTAGAGTAAACAGAACGTTCGAGGAGATTTGTAACATGTGAAACTAAAATCATTAGTAAATCGTTCAATTTGAGGAATATAACATTATTAACGAGCTTTCTCTTTTTCTAAAATTGTAAAATATTCAGTAAATAGCAAAATGAGCGCAGATTAGCAGCAGAATGGGCCAGAGAGGGTTTTAATCTTGCATACAGTTGTCTGCTTGCATGAAAACAATTTTAGGAATATATTTAAGTTTAACATGATTTGTTTAGTAGAAATACAAGACCTAACTGACTATACAACTCTCAAGTTAACACCTGTGTAGAAACGAAACATGAAAATCCTGTTCATATTGTCTTATGTATTGTACATGATATGAACTGGGAGACAAGCCTCGACTTTTATCAGATTCACGATCATCTTGATATTATTTAAAGAAATCAAGTATGAATTTTTTTAAATCAATACATCGTCACTGAAATCCACAGTCCTTTAAAATGTCAAAATTTTAATGACTGATATAACGACAAATAACTAGACTCAAGTTGAGATGAAAGACAGATAATAATGAATCACTGTAGTCTGTAGTATACTAAGTATACTATACAATTTCTAATTAAAGGGAGACAACAATATTTAACAACGAAAACTGTTACATTTAACTGAATGAATACATACATACAGTATAGACGGGAAATCGTGAATAATCAGGTTTAATGAACTGGAATGAAGTTGTACGTCTTACTTTTCAGTACTTAATTGGACTAATGTAATGAAAACTGGCAATGCCATGCAGTGTTCAGTGAGAGAAATTTTTCCGAGGAGCTTAATGAAATATGAGGAGAAGCGGGTAATTGATGGAACCAGTCTTGAGTTCTCAAGGGGTTTTGAGTCAGATAAATCTAACCCTTGATACCAAAGTTTCTCAGGTGAATCTAGATCTGTTCCTTACTACTCGGGCTCATTTTAAAGATAATCAATTGTCAAAAAGATAAAAAATCACAGCCAGACAATTTGGAGCTTTGATCAGACATGACTGGTAAATAAAGCTTAACAACATTCCTGGCTCCTAACCAAACGATCAAGATTTCCTCTGCCTGAGAAGTTCAAAGTTTTGTCTGCAACTTGTGTGAAGTTTGCAGAAATCACATGCATTGGATCCCCCTCTCTCTCTCTCTCTCAATCAACACCTGATCTCCTATGTCTTAAATCATATTACAAATTATACAAAAACTCAAACAAATATTGATATATATTAGTTTTTATTTCGTATTTTTATATAAATTTACAATTTCTTAATAATCATTATTTTGAAATCAGATTGTCAAAAATTATACATACACCAACAAAATATATAGATCTCAACAGTGAATATAAAGAAATTTGTATACCCTTCAGAGAAGATCAGCGAAAATGCACAAAATTCTTCGCCACACATAAGCAGTCAGTTTTGAACACAGAAAACATCACACATAAATCTTGATCTTGATCTTGATCTTTAGTTTAATCTCAATTTTTGTTTAATTTTTAATTTTGATTTGTAGTTTTTCAACCTATATTTAGCAACATTTGAACAAGAAACATTTCCACATTTTCACATGAAACACACGACAAAAAATTACGTCAAAATATTCCCAAGTTTCTTGGCTTTATTGTGTAAAATCATCTTGTTCATTGGCACAATGGATTTGAACACAAGAATATTTATGGGCACAATATTTTTATTTTTCCGAAGTATTTTCATATATTAGTAGATATAACGGGATATAAATATATGGAGTTTTGATCCCCAAGAAAATTGAGATCCAATGAAAAAAGGTTATTTTATATTTATCATTCTGACAATTTTAGTACATCTTCTAGGGATATTAATTGATCAATATTTGGTCCCATGAACACCAAGAAAATTCAGCTCCAATGAAAACGACGATTTCACTTTTATCATTCAGTCATTTTAAGTAACGAAACTTCCGAATATTTTGACACTAATTAGATATTTGAATATTCATAGAATATATTATTATTATAGATTATTTACATCTTTATACTGGAATGCCTCATTAATATTCGCATATATTTACATATAATTATCACATACATTAAACAATTAGTGGCTTTTCTTAATTACAATTAATTAGTATTTATTTAAAAATCTTAACAACTACTAAAATCATATTTCTTTCCGAAGCTTTATCTTTAACACAATTAACAATACCAAACTAATATTTTGGGAAAAAAAAGAAGATGTTTTTAGCTTAAAAATAAGTCTTCAATTGAACATTTTATGTTATTTTAAAAAATTCCAAACCTTATCTTTCATAAAAATTTAACATGTTAATTCAACAGAATCTAAAAATTTCACTTATTCTTCATCCTATTAGGAATTACTTTTAAAAATATTCTTATCAAAGTTAAAAGATAAATTCTATAAATAGGAAGACTAAAATAAACCCAAAATGGTTACGATGATTGTATGACACAAAACAAAAACACCAAAAATAAAATTTCAGCTTAAAAATTAGAAACTTAAAGCTACGAGGTATAGATTAGTTTTTGCATTGAAAATGAAAACAATAAATGATATTCGAATTACTAAAGTATTAAGCCATAGAGTGAAGGCCATTTTAATTTTGATCACACCAGGCAAATATCTGAAATATTTTAAATTAAAAGCTATCATAGATTTTATATACAATTCACAACCATAATAAATGTTTATATTTGATTCTATCATCTTTATCAGTCACTATTAACTATCATTATTCTATTATCTTTGTCAGTCACTATTCAATACAAAGTTTTTAAATTTGTACCTTGTTAATTTAGCAATGAAATACAGAAACTGATTTATGGAAACAACAATCACTGGTTATAGTTTTATGCAATGTTTTCACCTGTTTCTTTGTCTATTTTCTAATCAAAGCAGAATATGATAATATTTGAAAATTTGAGGCTAGATACAGTAACATCTCCTGAGATATATTAAACACAACACCATAACAAGACTGGATAAAGTGAGTTTGTTAAATTCTGTTAATATATTTTCTACCTCTAGATGTGGATAAAAGATTGGATTATTCTGTAGTAAAACAAAGTTATACATACATTAGAGTTGTATTAAGAGTGAAGAGGTTGCTAATAACTCTTATGTAAAGCACTGGTTGAGGTTACAAATAAAGAGATCTGGTAAATATAAACTAGGGTAGAGTTAACAGAGTTAGTATTTAGTTCTGATAATAAAAAACTCATCCAGTAATCTACAATAAAACTAATTAATAAGTAGTCTTCTATGTAAGGACAGTGTATATTGATGATGTTTTTAAAATGTTCAGGGTCTCAAGCTATACTATATCCAGTCTTGTAAAATATTAACATCGTTTTTCCCTGTCAAATCAACTGAGCATATATTTAAATAAATTGTCTATTTTTACAAAAAAAAAAACAATCATGTCTGAATTTCTTAATTTTTCAATTCTAATTTAAGAAATCTGATTGGTCAATAATAAAAGATATCATCTCAATAACCAATCAAATTTCTTAGAATTAACCAGTTCAGAAACCTACAACAAACCCTAATTTTAATTATGATATTTTTACTAAACAGACTGTGATATCATGTAACAGACAAATTAACATCTTAAAATTCACTTTCAAAAATCAAATCAGTTCACTAGACCTGTTTCTCAAAAAGATCTTGCCATCATTCACGTACAATTTTATATAAAACTTTAGAGATACAAAGCCTAGATTATGAATTAAAATTAAAGAGTTATAAAATAAAAAGATTGTTTTTAAAACTATCGGAAAGTAAAAATAGAAAAAGATAACATAAATAAAACGACCAGATACTTTCAAAGAGGGTGTTCATATGACAATACAGAAAAAGACGTTAAAATGTTTTTGGTTCATTGGTATCTTTAAGAAAAAAGGCAACTGGCGTTCTAGAAACTAACGACTTGAGAATTACTAATAATTCAGCAATAGTCAGAAAATATTAGGATTGTGTGATAAGGGTTAAGGGTGTATGATATGGAAACAAATTGAGAAATGAAAGTTCTAGTTTAAAGTCTCTATTCAGTGTTAAAATTTAGTATCCAAATTTAAGTTTATTTAAACTTTTTAAAACCAAAAATGACAGATAAAGTGAAAATTGATTTCAAATTTGATATCATACTCAATCCAAATTGAAACGTCTTCAATATTGGGTATGTTTTTAAATCATAATTCTCTTCTAACTTTTGGAAATAAATGACTGATTACATCATAAATTGGTAAGAACATTTTTACAATGAGTTATTTCCCTTTAATAACTATTACAAGCTTTCAGTTCAAAATCTTTGAAGAATTTTTTCCAAATGTCAAAAGGAAAAGCTTTTCTTTTGATAAAATGGCTACTATGTGTAAATTCTATTATATTGTAATCTTGCATAAAAAATAAATTCTTTGATTTCGTTGTAAGAAAAACCTCATAGCGTGTAAGACTGTGAACATTTTGAAAGTTCAATGAAAACGGAATTCTTTTCATCAGTCACTAGGGAAATTTAATTTGTTACAATGAATGTTAAATACCATTTAAACAGTTTGAACTAATCTTATGTACGAAACAAAAAGATTTCCTACATTTTCTAAATAATTTACAATCTTTTACTATCTAAAAATTTATACTTTGTTCTTAAAACCTGATGATAGTTTAGTCATGCCAATGTCTAATTCATCACTAAACTATGAACTTTGAACCATTGAACTATTGAACAATGAACCTTGAACCCTTGAATCCTTGAACTGTTGAACTATTGAACTATTGAACTTTTACATTACCTGAATAATTTACAAGTTCGTTAGATATGATCTTTCAGATTGAATTAAACTACAATAAAAAATGTCGAGAACTGTTTCTAGAACACCTCATACCCCTCTCCTCTTGCCATGCGTGGTCAATATCGAGAAATTAGCTTGTCTGACACTATCGAAAGTTCGTCACTGTCTTCTTATTGTAATGTGAACACACTCTTTAAAATACAAAAATTTTGATATAAAACGAAAAGAAATTTGTAAAATATTCTAAAATCTGACAATGGTCATGATAAAGATGATAATTCAGGCAACAATTCATAAAATAATCTTTAAGTTAAAAATTCAGAAGCGTTTTCCTTGAAAAAGGTAAACTGTCTTCATTACATTGCTACTTTTGATGACAGACTTTTGAATGAAACGTTGCCCAGAAATGCTTTAAGATTTTGGGTCAATCCTTTTTTTAAATGAACACAAGATATGAACTAGGGTATGTTTGATTGATCACTCCATACATGTTCCAGGCACAGGACAATCCAAAATCTTATAAATTTAGAGAGAAAGAGCAAATTGTCAGAAACTTACTGAATTCTGATTGATTCTTTCGTAAAAATATTGTCCAATCAGCTTTAGTTTTGACAATTCTGACAGAATAATGAATCTTTATGATTTCTTGGTTCCTAGAGCATGTTCAGGAGAGACCAATCAAACACATCTTATGACTCTAGCTGTTTTTATTCCTAGTTGTTTTTGTCGCACGATTCGATTAGCTATTTTGTGAATGTGTGAGCCAGGACGTTTAGGCTAATGGGTGCATTTGTGAGACAGTTTACCTAAGCTGATTAGGCTAATCGACCTAACTGTTCCAGTAGGTGGTTAGGCGATTCGATTAGGTGTGACGTCATTGGTCATTTATGCTATTGGCTAATTATATCAATGTTGTCTATATAAACATAGATGTCATTGGCTAATATTAATAGATAACCTTCTTTTGTTGACAGTACAGTCAGCTACATTGCCTAATCGCTGGTATCACATTTGTGGGCCACTGCAAATCGTACCTAATCATACTAGCAAATCGAAACCTAATTGAATCGGGGGACAAAAACGACTCTTTATTATGATAAGCACTCATAGAACCTGTTCAGGAAAGATCAATCAAACACACCTAATGAAAGTAGTTTTTGTTATTTTTAGTTGTGTTTAGCACGTTTTCCTTTCATGTAATCCATCCACCTTTGAGCCGTCACTTTGAATATTTCTGAATCGTCCATGACACTTAACTGTAAGAGCTGATTAATATGAGTCGTGTGATAGTCCCACCGTGCCCGATTCGGGGCAATCCCCAGTGTGATATGTCGCAAATCATAAAATGTTCCTGAACCATTGTCAAACATTAACAACATGTGTTTTAAACTTTCGATGCCCTTGTTGTACAGACGTTCAGCCATCTTTGATTCTTCTCCTGATGTCACTTCCTTTAAGTCATAAAGTCCAAATAAGGAATAAATAAAACCATTTAACACAAAACTACTAGGAGTGGTTGGATATTCTTCATACCAATCATAACGGTCTGCGTATTTCGCTAACACACCACCTTGCATGCTGGGAATTTCAAATAGTTTCATAGCGTCCACTGCCGCCTGTATATATTTGGTATTATGGGAACGAAGATATGCGCGCACTAATAACGACATAGCTTGACCTTGTGCCATAGCCGAATACCACCCCGGCTCAAGTTCTAGTACTTTTGGAATCAATTTTCGTTGTACCGATATCGGCCAACCCCCGCGATCGTTTTGATGCAGCACTAACCAGTTGGCTGCGTTGTAAAAATGGTCCAGATGGGCCGTTGTGGACAATGTTAGATTATCCAGCCACCCGTGTCCTCTCACAATAACTACCTTGATTCGCGACACTTTTAATTTCATCTTCGTCCGTTTTGATTTGTTATATTTTAAGGCAAGACCCTTGTCGAAGTCTATCGCAATATCGCGTGTGATATGCATCCATTGGCCTCTTCGATCACCGAGGCCGTAATAAATATCATGACCGTCTAAAAATATTAATCGCGAACTTAAAACATAATGTATATAAAACAACTGAAGACCTGGTGTATCTATGGTAACTGTAATACTGCCGTCAGTAGCGAACTTGATGTCAGCGGAAAGAACAAAATCCTCTTTTTCGTCCACTGGAAGTGATATGCCTGGATTTTTTAAAGAGTCTGAAATAATAAAGGTTTAATACAATGATATCAGCCATCAGCCTAGAAAATTGTTGTTTTAACACAGATATATTTAAAACTATTTCAATAGAGGCTATGAACGTTGGATCCAAAACTATGATATAATAGACCTTCTCTCAAGGGGAAATTGAGATGAAATTACACAGGTCTTTGAAAAATGTCCAGCTGACAATAAAATAAATAAAGAGCCCTGAGTTACTGTGATATAAATACATTAGGCAAGATGTCAAATTGAATGACAGTGCCAGATAAAATTAGCAATATTTCAACATTTTAAACTTGTTAAACCTAACAGAGTAAAAAATTCATTAATTGAGGACAGTACAGTGTGGCTCTGTTCTCTGTCCTGTCCTGTCCTGTCTTGATCTAATAAGATTGCGTTGTTAAACAAATTTCTTGTTTATTGAAACATGGAATATCAGACATAATAAGAGTTACGTCCCTTCTGATTTAAACACGTGTGGTGCCCTTTTACCAAAAAATACCCCCAAAACAATGAAACAAACCTGATGTAGTAAATTCTACAAGCGTCGTTGATAAATCAGGGTCCTTTCTTAGTTCAATCTGAGATCTTTTATCAGGGAGAATCCAACTCTCTAATTCATCCTCACCATCCTCTAGGGTGACTACCTCGGCTTCGGGCTGGGTCAGGTATTTACTCAGATGACTTAAACCAAACTGAGAAATCTGGATAGGGTAATAATGACCATTTTGGGTCCACTGGGTTGATAGGGGAACTCCTGTAATAGTGATGATACAATTATAGTCAAGGTAAATTTTTTTAGAAATGATCGCATATTTACCTGAATATTTACTCTACCAGCAGATACAACTCTGTATAATAAGATCAAGATAAAGTCTATTGGGTTCGGTTTTGAAGCCTGTGAAATGATAATCGAGACTAGTAAGACAAGTCTACTAAATGGAATTCAGAGTTAGACACAACCAACCAGTCTCACAGATTTGATACAAATTTTCAAACAGTCTTCTTGTACCAGCGAATTAAAAAATATCATAGAAACCAAACTTTACCTTCCATAGCACTAATACATCGAACCCTGTCTCTTTCTTCCACATTATAATATTCAAATGACATAAAAACACCTGCCGGGGAGTATTTTTCACGCGGTCGATGTACTGTAGAATAACTGTGTTCCCATTCTAATCTTTCGTACCCATCTTCAGTTGATAATTTACCATAAATCTACAAAAAATTAACAGAAATTTTAGAGATTTTCAATAGTCAACCCATTTTCTGTTATTTTCCATTCAAAATATACCATAAATATAAACAAATATACGCAGTGTCGTTTCAACTTTTACTCAATTCTGTTTCTTAAGGTGGCGCCCCCTAATCTGTAATGAAGGTTAAACATTACAAAACAACCGACAGTAACCATAGAAATCAAAAAAATACCTCAAAATATTTTTGAATAAAACCAAAGAAAGGAATGAAGACTTCATTTCCGTCACGTCGACATTTAATACTATATTCTCCGTTAATAACACAATCTAATTCATGATATTTTATAGGCATCTGGTCTTTCTGCTGGAATTTCAGAGAATTGGTTCCCCGATTTCGGAACCGAGCCTCATAGTTTTCATCTGGATCCTGACTCAAATCGATACTATGCCTGAAAAATAAACAAAATTTGAAATTTCTGGGGGTTATAGAAGATACTCTCTGCACTGTGTGCATGTACCATTTATCTCCATCTGATTGGGCTAATGAAGACGAACAAGGCCATGCAGTGTGCAATGATGGAAATTTGAAATTAAATAATGTTTCATGATCTACACTTCTACATCTGATTTGGCTAATGAAGACAGACAATGTCATGCAGTGTGCAATTTCATTGAAGATGTGACAAGTCTTAAACTATACAATTAAAATGTAAAAACCCTAATTCTGAAACTGGCCAGAAGCAAAGTCTATTAACGCCAATAGACATCTTAGAGACAGCTGAAAATCTTTTAAAGGTCAAGAAATCCAAGTTAGCATCTCAAATGAACGAAAAAGTCAAAATCAAACAGACAATTCCAAAGACCATGGTGACCTGATAACCATGACTAAAACTCCCACATCCAGACGTAAAATAATTGTCTTAATATTTGTTTTACGTTCTTCAATTGAACAGAATAATTACCATGGTGATCAGAATTGTGTCTATATCATTAAATGGCCGTCGTTTGTAATTTTGCTCTTGATAATGGACAAACCCTTTCAGACGCCTCGTTTACTTTTTATAATATTAGTTTGTCGTCATTTTGTTGACGATTATTTAATCAGTCTAGTACAGTAATGGTGTTCGATCGGTAGGTGAGAAATGTCAAAATGTCCCAAGATAATTTTAATGTCAGTTTCGTCTCTGGACAAGTAATTTCCGTCTGGACAAGACCACAAACTAAAATTCTAACGGTCTGCCTCGAAATCAAGATAAAACTGTTGCACAGAATTGTCATTCTTTCTCTTTAATTCACATATCTTCATTAAAAGATATTGAATTAAGTGATTTCCACACTAAACAAGGGCAATAACTGTGTATAATATATCTATTATAGCAATGCTACTAAATATCAAACAAGGGCAATAACTCTGTACTTACCTACTGACAGAAGTTTGATTACACTGGCTCCAGAAACAGAATGTTAAAAGGACACAGGCTATGGCAGCGAATAAACCTAAATTTAAAAATCTTCTAACCCTCATCTTCACTTAATATCACAACCATTACTGCCATCTGGAGAGAAAAAAAAAACAGGGTCAGTTCCCTTTGTTTACAAACTCTACAAAACCTTTTTCGTAAACTAATTCTGTAAAATTCTGTTAAATTCAATTCTTTATTTCAATCAAAACTGAAACAAAAATATTGGTATTTATCTAAACTAAAATCTACTACAATTGTTTTGGTAAAAAAAAGTGTTGGATATCCAGAATAAAACAAAAAAATATTTTTCCAAAATTATCACTTTCATGACGCCTTCATTTATATACTGTTTTAAGTTAATTGCTTTTAATTTAGTAAACAACCATCAAAATAAATAAACGGTTTATTGGTGGTCTTTTTTCAAACAAGGAATAAAATTCTGTTAATTCGTTTAATGATGTTACATTAATAATTAATATTTATTGATGATATCACACTGTTTCTACAACTTCCGTGATGATAAGATAAACACACGTCAATTTCTATTTTATACGATAAATTAATCACCATTATAAAAATTATTATTTTAATATGGTGGCACCATCAAATATTCAATACATATTCTGAATTTAATATATTTAATTTGAACAATAACCTGAAATATTCATGTATTGTCTGAATTTAATGTATTTAATTTTAATACAGCAACATGAAATATTCAAGAAATATTCTGATAAATTCAAGATGGAATCATAGTGAATTATTTATTAGCAGACTTGATTTGATCTTATTCAATAAATTCACTTGTTTTGCTTCAACATTCATATTGGAAAATAGAACTGCATTTATCCTGATGGGGCTTTTGTATTTGTAGTAGGAAATTGAAAAAGAGCAGGCAAGTGCTGCTGTCCTAGCATAATTTCCTACTTTGCAATCTGCTTGGCGTTGTCTGTCTCCATAAGTCCACATGGTGCAGAAAAGAAATTACATTCCATTCATTTCATTTCCCCTAAGCCCTTCCCCCCCACCTCCACTCTCAAACTATCAACCTAAATCTACATCAAAATAATCATTGATTGAATAAACAATGAAATAAAAGAGAGTAAAAGGCTGGGTATTTTCTCTTCAAACAAACAACTAAACTGGTATGAATAATAGATGGAATAGACACAGATACAGTGAGACTATCATAATGGATAGCCACTAATTAGAGCTGTAGGTATAGTCTTACACTACCAGATATAAAGTGCTAAGTATTGTCATTAGATCTAAATGAAGAGAGTCGTGGTAGCTCAGTGAGTTAGACAGGTGCTTGCTAACCAGAAGGTCCATGGTTCAATCCCAGCATAGGTCGAAATAATACCTTCATATTTTTCAACCTGGTTTCTCAGTGATGCATTGAAAAAGCGTCTAGTTGTTTGGATAGGACAATAAACTGAGGCCCTGTGTGCTGCACAAGATCCATTGACAGTTGGAAATCTAAACAGAGCAGGCTAATGCCGCTGTCCTGGCAAAATTTCCATCATTGCACATTGCATAGTGTTACCGTCTTCATTAGCCAAGAAAGTGCATAAAGCTTGTACAGTGAGACTATCATAATGGATAGCCACTAATTAGAGTGATAGGTATAGTCTTACACTACCAGATACAAAGTGGCACATTTTACAACATTAAAGAATAAGTCATCAATATCTCTTAATTCAAAAAAAGTTTTTTCTTAGTGATTAATTTTTTTGAGAAAAAACAAAAATACTGAAAATTTTTTGTACACTATTTACTAGTGACTATTATATTAGTAACAGAAAATAAATCGAATATAGAAATAAGTGAATTCATAGAAAATAAACACAAAAAAACAATTGAAAGAGTAGAATGGTACACAATTTATAAAAAAAAATAGAATGAAAATATTGGAAACTCATGCAGAAATTGCAGAAATAACACAAAATAGTAAAAAAACATATAATAAAAATAATGGAAAATACACAAAAAAATGTTAATAAAAGAGAAAAACACATAATGATAAAGAGAAAGAGTTGATTATAAATATTACTCAGTCAATATAAATATAATGATCAAAGGGAGATAATTAAACAAGAGATTCTAGTCGATGTTCGGTGAAAATGAATAACTATGTAAAACTTGGTGAAATCATTCAGATTGATTAATACATTTTATCACAATGTTCATTCTCTTTAACATGTCCCAGATCACTACAAATTTCTACCGTGTTTTACTTTGGCAACTCATCTAGTTTACTTGTAGAAGTATTGGATTTAGAATAAATCATTCATTTAGTGATCATTTAATAAATTTATAGCAGCTCAATGTCTCTTGAAAATATCCAAAACCAAATTCTCATATTTCTATTGTGTTTGATTTTAGAAGATGAACCTAATATTAGGGACACCCTGCTTCACAGACAAACACTCAAAATATACTTTTATTACAGGAAACACCCCTCTTACATGAAAAAGAAAGAGAAATGCTGCAAGCCATTTTAAACTTTCAATTCAGACATGATTGGTAAACAGTCAAAACAACATGCCTGATACTGAGCAATAACAGTATCATTCAAAGAGATATAAATCTATTTATATGTTAAAACCCAACTCATTGTAAGACATTTCAGAGATCTAGTCAGACATGGCTGGTAAAAATGTCAAAACAACATCCCTGATGAATAGTAATAACTGAATCATTCCGTGTGATATAAATCTGTATCAATCAGAGATAACATTTTCATCTAGTCAAGTATCTGTTAAAATCGTTAAAATTAGATTAAAAATACATTTCTTAATATAAATTATAACTTTATTATCACTCAATAAAAAACTGAGGATATTAGCAGAATATCAGCCCAGGCGAAAACTGAATGATTTGTATCTTAGATTAAACATTTTAACTGCGAGCCTGAAATCTCTGTAAATAATCGTAAATATGACTTATGCGGCAATGTGTAACTTTTCAACCAATTAAATTCTAGGAGAAGATTTTGTGCTGACAAATTAATGGAGAAAGATGAACTTCGTGACTGGAATTAAAGATGAAAATGTCTGCTGAATCAATCAAATTTCTCTCTCTCTCACTCTCCTCATTTTTACAAAAATATTTTCTCAGATTCTGGTTTTTTTTTTATTTTAATATTTTGCCCAGATTATGAGATTGAACTTTTAAAAATGATTGATGGGGATAATAAAGACTGATATTTACACTTCATTTATCTTAAATTTTAACTTCTAAAAAACATTCCTGACACTGGACCCCAGACAGGACACAATACTTCATCTGTAAACACAGTCCAAACAGTGGCGTGTTTCGGACTGAGTAGGGGCACAGAATTATCAGAGGGGGTAGGGGGAGCTAACAGCACCACATTATACAAAATCAATGATAAGAAGTTTTAAAGTTGGAGAGCTAAAGCCAGACTAGCCTCATTTCATGGGTGTTAGGGGGTGGGGGGCAGAGGGAATGGCTCACCCACGGGACACCACTACCCTTCAGAAATCTGTCAGACAGTCATATCAGGAACCAAACCGCCAGCCAGCCTCATTTCCTGGCAATCCTAGCCCTCTAGATGAACACCAGTGAACATGTAACACCTGTGTATTTGTGACACGAAGAATAATATCTGTCTAACTATGACAATACATGTGACACCTGACAGGAAACTGACTGTCAACACCAACATGTCACAGACACAAACATACATGTTTTATATTCCATGTTATTATAATAAACTTATAAAATATTAGACCTGTATTTGACGTGTATTAGGCCAGTATTTGATGTATATTAGACCAGTATTTGATGTGTATTAGACCAGTATTTGATGTGTATCAGACCAGTATTTGATGTGTATAAGACCAGTATTTGATATGTATTAGAC